CCTCACAACCTCTTTCCACTCGTAGTCAACACGAGTCCTTAAACCTCTTCTGCTACGCACATCGTTCGGGGAGGTCCAAGGAGTGGTGCTTCATCTCCATCTTTGTCTGGGTCTGACTGAATAAAAGCTCACTTTCTCCTACCTGCTGTATGTAGAAATGTCTCACTTCCTGCTTGCTGACTTGCACTTTTCATTTTCACGCCCTCAGCTCCTGGCTGTGCCCTTGCAACTGCTCCCTGGCTCATGATGAGAGGCAGGACAGGTCACCCTTCTCCTCCGCCAGGTGAGTTACCCCAGTGAAGCTCTCCGTCTCCAACCGAGCTACTGAAAAGAGAGAATGGGACTATTGTTTACACAAACCTGATCAAATAATGACAGTTTGTCCTATTAGACTATTAAAGAAGAAATTAAAGAATTTAATTTACATTTGGGGGCCATAGCATGTGCTCATGCAAAGATGTCATTACTGCAGGCTGTGATCGCTAGGGGAGAGGCTGCAACAGATTCCCATTTCGATCAGTGGTAGGAAATGAAATTTTCACATCAGTCCTTCACAGGTGATCTTTGGAAACAAGTGCCAAAGATGTCTTCATTAATAAAATATGTGGTGTACCATTACCATTTTCCTTTTCAGGAAGCCAGAAAGGCTTCTATTTTCCCCTGGGTTTTCTGACCAGAGGTTATGAATGTGTGGATTGTGAAGCAGAGAAACAAATGTTCACAGAGTTGTCTAGCCTGCAGCTAGGATACGGTTCTGTCAGTGTCCATCGTCTCCCACTTCGCAATTCCCAGCACTACCTTTCTGCTCTTAATTTAATCATATTGTGGTGTATATATAATGTCATGTTGTATAATAATACAGGAGCCTTTATGTAAATGACCCTTTTTATCAAACGGAAGCAAAATGGACAGAAAAAAATAATGTGCACACACTCTTCCCATATTCAGAGTTATCTACCAGGTCCCAGAACAGTTTTTACCACATATAAATCTCTCGGAACGACAAACCTTCCCTGTCAGCAGATTCTTTTATTTGGTCAGCGGTTCATGTGGGTTTTGAGGGTAGATGAGAAAGATAAATACTGGGATTTTAAAATGGGCTATAAGGATTCATGTGTTTTCATGCCTATGTGTGCAGCATAGTCCATGAAATCTTAATTTTAGCTGGGGGGAAAAACTACATTATTAGTTCCTGAAATGCTGTAGCCTTCATATTCTATTTTTTCTTGGAAATAATGAGAACAACGATGGGTGGGCTGATGCTTTCTTGCTTAATTAAATACATAACCCTTGAGGTTAATGTGAGCTTACTGGAAACATAGAAAAAAAGATTCTGCTTTTTAAAATGCAGTAGAAGCTTTATCTTTTTGCATTTTTTTAAATTAAGAACGGGAGAAATACAGTATTCATTAAATAGTCGGGATTGATGGACATACATTCATTGTTAACATTAAATTGTTCATTGGTAACATACCTCACATTGGAAAAATAATGAAAAGGCCACATCCTATATTTAATGACCAGTATTTTCTTTCATACACAGTATATCAGTTGTCCTCTCCCACAGCCCAGTAGTCCCACTGTGTTCGACATGTGTGCTAAGCATTTGTAATATTTCTGAGTAACCCTTAAAGGATACAGCAAATCCTTTGTACACACCATTGCAGACTTCATTATTGTGAGTTAGTTCTGTTACTACATGATATTTTAACAGCTGGACAACTGAAAAGCACAGGGTCGACGCTATTCTGCCAAGCAAAACAGAAGGCATACAATTCAGAGACAAAATAGTTTGTGGTTTAAGTGGAGTGTTTTTATTTTTTAAGCAGAGCTTACATACCTTTGCATATCAGTGCAGTTTTTTTTCATTATCACACACCCCAAGGCACTACTGAAATGACAGATGATATTTTACCATATGTAATTTTAAATGGCTTATTTTCTATTATAATGTTAATGTGAGTAATTATTCATTATTTGTCACAAAATAAATTAGCATTTCCATTGCAGATGTAAAGACAGTATGTTGGAAGATGGTCCATAACTTATAACTGGCCAGATTGGCCTCCTCTGGTCTTTAACTTATGTTCAGACTATAGAGGAGTAGTTTTCTTTTGTTTCTTCATCCTGTCTGGAGCTGGGGTCCTGCATGAAAGAGTGCAGAATGAAGGGTATTTTTGTGTTTTTTCTCAGCATTTTAAAATGAATTGAGTAAGACTATGAGTGGATAGTTTTTAACATATTCCTAAAGGTGCATCCTGTCCTGGGGATGAGCGGTGGGGTGAGCTCATATTTACACAGTAGCCACTGGTTACCGTGGTATTTATACCCACAGGAGTGTTGTACCACCTGGAGTCTGTCGTCCTCCTTGCCTGCCTCAGGTGGTTCAAGACTACATAAGATGTGATCTAGCAGAGAAATTACTTTAATCGCAAGTACAGGAAAGGGCGTGCAGTACAATAATGTAAAAATAAAATGGTATATAGTCAGCAAGGATACAGGACAGTCACACAACCCCATGTGAAGCAATGTTACAATGTCCACTTTTCTGTGGAGTGCTGCAAATCTAAAAGCAGGTCCAGTTTTCCAGAGAGCTGGGACCACAGGATCACACTGTTCTGTTGATTTGAAATCAGGGAAAAAAAACTACTTGGCCCTCTATGCTTCATTGCAGTCATAAAACATGAGCTCATTTGTGGTTAGAAATACGGTGGAGCAGAATAAAACTAACAAGGAGTTCTGCCTTGCTTCTAGGATAGGCTCTGGGTTGCTGTGAACTTTACAAGGAATAAGAATCTTTCTGAGAATGGATTATATTTGGAAAAGCATTATTAAGATTTTAAGAACACATTTTAGTATGTGTGGAAATAAAAATCTTAGATCAGAAGTACAGAGTTAGTTTTCAGCACTGCTCTTACTGCCCTGCAGTAATTGAGGTAATCCTTAGCTTAAGTGGGACAACATGAAATAGTTAGCAAGCAACATTTGCATGTTTCCATCAGCTAAGTATAATTTATTTTACAACAGTTTCTAGGAAAAATTATCCTTTATTTGAAATAAAATATCTAAAGTCTACTGACTCTTAAAGAACCTACACACAATCACTGGAGTTTTAGAATTCAGTAAATGGAGTCTGTAAGAGATCTGTGAACACCCTGAGGTTTCCAAAACAGGAATTCTATCTGCCCATTCATGAAGAGACATGCTCATATACTGTAAATACAAGCATACACATAGACAACATAAAGTCCCTTCTTTGTACAGTATAGAATATAAAATCAGTCTATTTTGTACTGTTCTGCTAGCTGTGTAAGTTATTGAACTGTACCAGAAAAGACATGACTGTACAATATTACTACCTATTTGAGAATGTGAGGAATTCCCACTGGTGGAGATGAGAGTATGTGAGGAGAGTGTACCTCAAAATGTCGTCTCTGCACTGGGAGTTTTTGAACAGGGAGCCTTGTTGAGCTGGGATAGTGCTGTGAATTTAGTTGTTGCAGTACTGCACATTCCCAGCTCATCTCAACACCTACTGTAAGTGTCAGAGCCAACCTTGCGACTTCAGCTATGACACATGAACCTGAAGATAATAATATACAAACTAATTTTAAGGAAAAAAATCCACAATTAAAAGTGGAAAATGCTAAAGAAAAATATATGATAAAATTACACATTACAAATAAGATTTCAGTAGAAAAGCATCTCATGTCTTAGTGTTACATTTTTGTATATTGTTCAGTTTATCTCTGTTTTAAATATTGAGATTGCAATATTTATTTTCCCTCAGCAATGTGGTATCAAATACAGAGCATAGGTGAGATTAAATTTAGAACACTTCTTAATATGGAATTACAATACGAATTGTACGATTTAAAATATAATTCCTGCTTTGGCATAAGAATTGTGACTTTCAATTAAAAATAATAACACCCACTGCTTTAAATGGAAATGCAAAGCCTTCAAAGTTAAATGTGTTCTGATTGCTCCAAAATAGTGTTAATACCGAATTCAGTTAATATAATACAGCATGAAGTTGTATACAGTGCCATATGAAGCATATTGTATATTTGAATTGATTGCATATTTTGCTGTTTTTCTTGTCATAAATGTATGTCTTTTTGTTAATGGGCTTGTGTTGTGTTGAATTTATTGTGTATTGTGTTATTTCTTTTACCTGGCTAGAAAGGGAATTTTTCATCTGGGACAAAAAAGTAAAATTCCAGCAAGAACCTTGATTTGATATCACTATTCCATGACTTCATTTGCAGCAACACAAAAATTTTGAAGCACCTATTTGATCATATTTACACATCTTATCAACAGCCTGTCAAAAATAACCAGTTTTTTGGGCCTTCAGCCAACAGTGTTAAAATATTAAAGAAAATGTTATGAGTCTGGCAACACACATGAGCACTGTATTGAAGAAATGTCAACAGCTTTAATTTAATAGTCAGCGGAGAGTAACTGCAAGAATGTAATGTGTAGCTGTTATTAGAGACTACTCACTGATTCAATAGTCAAACATTTCATTTGTGCACCAGGCATAAATGTTGCCCTGAAACCTAGGAATTTGCTAAGATTTTGATCCTTTTCTAACAATACAATTGCCTTATTTTAGTAAAGAAAACTTTTAAACCAAATTGTGAACTTTTTAAATATTTATGAAAATATATTTGGTTATAAAAGAATGTGCTTTATTTAAAGCCACTTTTGTGAAATATTGAGACATCTTTAGATACCTAAAAACACAAAATCAGGCCCGGAACAGACAGCACCCTGTTGTCTTTGGATTCTCATCAGCAGGAGCCCTTGTGCAGTAAAGTCCAAGAACAGGCTTGTGCCACACAACTCCTTGACAGCTGAGTCCCAAGGAGGAGGAAGGCTGAAAATTGCTGCAGGGGACCAGGCGGCTTTTGTTCAGACTGTATAAGCAGAAGGCAGAACTGTGGCAAAGAGATGTGCAAAGGTTAGTGGACAAGTGAACAGAATCGGAGAACATTCTATTTTTGACAAGACATTTTAACACCAATTAATTGTGGGGCTCGTCTGTTCCAGGTAGTTAGGGTATGATGGTGTTTACTCAGGAGCTGCTTTCAAGTCACGCCAGGAACAGGACTGGCTGATGGACACTTCTTCTGCCAGAAAAGCTAGCCGAGATACTGTAATTGTCTGCTTTAAAGAATGTTTTCTCGTGAACAGGTGCCACACAATGAGTCCTTTAAAACCGATAACATACAAACCGACATTTTAAAATGAATTTATTGTTCATGTTCTGAAAAATGAAAAGTGTTCCAAATTAAAAGATGCACAAATGTAAACAAGGGGTTAGCAGTTTAGACAATATAAATGTAACTTTTATCCTGTGATGGGCCTTGACCAAAAAGTAGTTGAATTGTCTTTAGTATGACACCTCTGTCAATTTAACAGTAGAATTACGCTTCTATAAACTGTGAAAAGGTACATAAATGCATTATCTCTCAGGGGTGTGAGATTTTCTACTGCTGCTGGCGTCTGATGGGTTAGTGTCCTGATGGCCTCTTGCTCATTCCCCAGGAAGGGACACAAGAAAAGGTGGGATCGACAGAGAAATTAGCGCTTTTGGAAAGAGGGCTTTGATAATAGTCCTGCTCCTTTTGTTTAAAGGACAGTTATATACCCATTTTTGTAATACCTTGGTTTCAAATCTACAGCAGTGAGGTTATCCCCTCTCTCTGCAGTCTTGTACACAGCTGAAACACCTCAGGAACATTCTTTACCGGAAAGAATAGTCTGAAATGATGAATGCAAGTGGTAAAAGCTGCTGTCTATTTGGCTGTGAACCATGAAAACCTTCCAGAGACCACAGAATGGAATGTGTGTTCCAGACACCATATGGAATGTGTGTTCCAGACACCAAGAAGAAAAAAAACTTTCCCATGTTTAAGAGTTAAAAGCACTCAGAAATTATTTCCATTTCAGAATTCAAGTAACAATTCTTAAGAAATTTACATTGAGTTATCGATGCTTTGTCTAAAACTCCTTCTTTGCCATTGCTAACTTGCATCTGCCCAAAGCAAAGCTGTGCTTTATGCCAGAAAAGCTAAAACACTCCTCTAAGTTTCCAGCTAAACAAACCTTCATCCAAGAGGCCTTTGGAATGCAAATTTAAGAGCAATCTGTAGTTTGTGAAAGATTAATTTTGGAATATCTACCACGCGCACATGCAGCCAACATACAGTGGTGCCATCCTGACATTTCCCTAACCACAGGAACACCATCTGTTTCTCATTTGCAGTTCACTGCCAGTCCCTGCAGTGTTTATGGGCCCTTACCTAAAAACACAACAAGCAACAAAGTTCAGTTTTGTACTACAACTCTTCGTAAATTTTCAAGGCTCAGTTGTAACCAGTTCACTGAAAATATTTCCTGTAACAAAATAGGCCAGATGGAAATATGTGCTTTGATGTCTTCAGATGCATTAGTACACAGATATGCAATTATTACTCACAGTCAGTTTCTTGGCTCTTTTCTAAACCATGAGAATAGTTCCTTGCCTGATGCCTACAACTTTTGTCTTTACATTTTCATGAGAAGAGAAACTAAAACAGTTTCATTAATCTTTGTTCATCATCATTTCCAGCTACAATATCATTTATAAGTATCTCTTATTTTATAAATATAAACTCCACCCCCAAAATATATTTTGCACTTAAAATACTAAAAAATAAAATAAAGCAGAGCAACAAATAAAAACAAAGTAATCAAGACAAGTTGCGAGTCTTTGGAGAAACCTTGGTATTCTCTATGTACCTATCATATAAGTAGCCATATTTTTTAAATAAATCAGTTTTGGTAAAGGCTAAAATAACAAATATAAAAATGGATCAATGATCTTAAAGATAACTGCTGTGAGGGGTCTGTTAACCTACCTAATTACTTGCATTAAATAGAAGGAATAAGTGTTTCCTACACATGCTGAAAAACAAAAGACACATAGAATAGTCAATCATAAATTGTGTATTAACAGCATAAGCCAGCCTGTAGTTAAAACTGCTCTACTCTGTGTATTGCAAGAGGTTCTGGTGTAAAGGCTAGGAGAGTTCCTCGCTGTGGTGTCAGAATCTATAATCACCTCATGCCAGAAGCTGCAATGCATTATTGATATCTTTTGGAATTCTTATAAAAGCTAGGAGACATAAATATATATATATAGTATACATGTATGTTGACAACAGGGATATCTTTTTCAAGATTTCATTATTTAGAGGTATTTTTGTTCCTGCAGCTTAACAGAAAATTAGAAAATCAGCCTGTATTTTCCTTCAACAAAATGAATCACAATAAGAAGAAATAGTTAGCTCAACTGTAATATTGAAGTCCTGTTCAGATTTTTAATTCTCAATACAGGCAATGCTACGGTCTGTTTCATCTACATACCATAAAGAAGTACTTGGTGGAATTTCATATTCTATTCTACATTTGACATTTGATAGGACATAAGACATAACCTATTAAGATCTGATTTTTTTTTAACCACGTTTTGTAGTTACACTACAAACATAAAAGCTCACTGAACAGACACAAACATTTACTTGATCTTTGATCATGATCTTTTAGACCAGGTATGCCATTACAGAACACTGAACGTGTTCAGGGTAAATTAAAGTGTGCCTAGTTTAACATCTGGACACAGATTTAAGTTTTATTTCAAGTAAATGTTTCAGAAGAGGCCTGGAGTAAATAACCAGGGGGTTATTCATTCGTGGTGCACCTTAGTTCCCCACAGCCACTCATAAGGTCAGCCAGCATTCACTCCAAGGACTGATGCTTCTGTTACACTGCCCTTTGAAAAAAAAAATCATTTACCACTTCTGGTAAACAATTGTGTGTAAACTGCAGTGACAATGATGCATCAAATACAAATTAAAATTAAAGGAGAACTGCAGTCCCAATTCCTCAGACCCGTTATTAAATCTCGGGGACACCGAGAGATGTTTTCACAAGCCTGCTTGATAACAGTGCAAAGTTTTGTTGCGTCGTTCTGAACCGCAGACGATGGGAATATGGCACTATGGCTACCTGGAAATGTAATGTATTTTGAGCTTTTACACGTTACAGATTACATTTTACTTTCATTGTGGTTTGAAATATACTCATCAATGTGGATTCTTTCTAACGCCAAAACATCAAAATAGTGTTACAGTTCCCCCTTAAAGAATTCAAGTACAGTACAACTCTGAAGAATCCCCCTAACTGTACAACTGTGGAAATGTACAAATGATTAGTAAACTTCAGAAGCATATTATAAATGATAATCATATATTCCTAAAATACATACTGCATCATCAAATTAAATGCATAGGGACAATTATGTGCACAGAGTTTCTCAGAAAAAAACAAGTTTTCAGGAATTTCTGTGTGAAAAAGCTCAACCACAGGTGTGCGAGTTCACAGGCAGGTATTCAGGTAGCCAACCTTGGCCCTTTGATGCCCTTCCACTGAATGTCTTTCCTCCCACCAACCCTTAATTATTAAAGTCAAATCTCAAGCTTTAATAATCTCACACCAGTTACTAATTTATTAGAAGGCTTGTAGTGGGATGGAACTAAAGCACCAAGGCTAACAACTTCTGAATTATATATTGTACTTACATGCCAGGAATGCTTCTTGATCTTGTATTATATACAGTACATAACTTTATAGCTTGTTTCAACAGAAAGAATAGTTATGTTGTCTCTTGCATGTTAGGGTACTCTTACTCGGTTCCCACTTATTGAATGCCTGCAAAAGTGATAAGAGAGCGTCTCATGGAGAGACAATCACAACCTGATTGGAGAACGGATGTCTGGAGATACAGTCCACGTAAGCAATAAGTCAGTATGTTTCAGGGGACTTTATATAATCCTGTTTTTAAAAATCTTTCCCAAGTTTCAGGTTCTTGTCCTTAATGTACTGAAGCAGTAACTTTCCTCGCTTCTCCACAGTGTGGATGAGTTGCTTTAGTCCCTTGAGTCTTCCCTGGCTCTCCCAGAATTCCTTGTCCGTGTACAGAGAGCGCAGGAGCATGCTCTGTAAGCACCCAGACCTCAGGATAGACACTGCGCCTTCAGGAATCCTAAGAATGTGGAGGACAAAAAAATATTTTTACATCAATATTTATCATTTCAATAATTCCATCAGCCTTAATCACATTTGTAATGGCAACATGCAGCACACCATATAGGTTCTTCAGTAATGTATTTCGTGAAAAAGTTCTTTGTCTTCTTTCAGATGGCCAAGATCAATTATCCAGATACAAGGGACAACCATTACATACTATTTTTTGTAGTGTTATGCGGTGTTTTAGTACGTATTTTTACAAGTAAATATCTCCCTTTAAAAGTAGAATTTGCAAAACGCAATGACTGCCTTTTGGGTATGGATAGTGTTATGAACCATAATTATTAAAAATGTCATAGATCTGATTATTCTTTACCACAATGTGTAAATCACAACAAAATTGTTCCACAGCTGGTGAAAACAAATTCAACAATATAAACCCACTCCTCAGTATACAAATGCTAGATTTATTACATTTTGTTACAGCTAAACCTGTCTTTTAATACACTTGTTTCACTTTAAAAACCATTTTTGCTACAACAAAGGTGCTCCCCTTGTGACCTTGCTCCTTCGGTGTTTTGTAATCGTTGCACACCTTCCTTTTTATCACCATGTTTGCAAAACACATCTTTCAGGTGTTAGAAGAAGCAAAGAAGATACAGAGTTCCCCTTGGCAATGAAACTTGATGTGACAGAAGGGACTGACACCGACATTGAATTGAACATGGTTATGTTTCTTTATTTTTTGTAGTTTACAACTTCTACACATTTTGTGTTAACTACAGTATTGAGTCAAATAGGCTAATTATTATGAACATGTGGTGGAGTTCTTATTTTGACAATTCATTACATTCAATAGGTAGCAACCCTGGCTGATTTTCTAGATCTCAGAAATTAACATTCTGCATGTCTCCTTTTGGATGGTCTCAATCAGGGGTGTCAAAATAATTTTCTATGGTAGACCAGACTGGATTTCAAATGTACAGTACATCTAGCCGGCCATTGAAAGTAATGGGCATGTCAATATAAAAGAATCCGATGCTTTGTGAATGCTTATTGAGTATGCTAAGTAGAATGGTTCTGGCAGGGATGTTAGCTTTGATAAGTAATAGAAAAAACATTTTAGACCAGACTTATGTTTCAAAAGAAAGGCAGAGTTGATAATGGGGCGTAATTTAAAGAGGCAGAAAACTTTTCAGAAGGTGATCTGGAAGAAAATGCAGAAAGCCAGCCAGTCTGAATACAACAGCTTTCATAGCCAACAAACAGGTCGGTTGAAAATGATTGTGCTGGGTTTTGTGAGGCCAAGGAGACAGTATCAGGAGCAGCAGCGCCTCGAGAAGGAGGAATGTCAGGCCATGTTGGACAGGGGGTGGAAAGGCAGACGTTACATTACAGAGAAGGCTGTAGAACGTCTGCCAAGCTGGAGGTAGGATGGACCAAAGAGGTGGACTCAGGAGCAGCAGGAGAGGAAACCGGGGCTGAAGGCACCACAGTTGGGCTGCGCTGGACGCCAGGGCAGACACTAAAATGTTGTAGGACGCCTGGCAGATGCAGGGGGCATTAAGAGCAGCAGGGGCTTGAGAGAGAAGAAACGGGGGCCAAAGACAGCAAGGATGCTGAGGAAAGGCAGACTTTTAAATGGTGTAGGAGACCAGCTGACTGAGCCTAAGGTTGGATGCTGGACAGACCAGAGGTTGAGTGCAGAGCAGCCTGTAGTTTTAGACCACTGAACTGAGTTTTGGTTCACTTTATAAAAAAGTGAGTTTTTCACACAAGTCATGCAGTCCTAATACTTACTCCTCAATGCCTTCTAAAAGTCGGAAGTTGAGGTTGCCCTGGGGATGGTAAGGTCTACCGGCATTGTCAATGAAGACCAACCGCGAAGGGTCGGCCTTTCTCACCTGCGTAGAAAAAATAAATGCAGCTTTTAAAGCACAAATCATTAAGGGCACAGAGGGGCAGTGCAAATTATATCCAATATGCTTTTTTTTGCTTCATGGCAAAACACCAGAGTAAATGTTACAATGTGTGAATTTCACAAGCTGCTTTCTCCTCACAAACTAAAAAGCAACTGAGAGTAGACGCGGACTTTTCTAATCTAATTCCTTTTAGTTCCCGCATCACCTGAGACAATGTGTTGGACAAGGTTATGCCGCTCTCATCTCTTGAGAGCCACTCTTTTCAGTGCGTGAATATCATGCACCAGGGGTAGAAGTGTTAACAGTGCGCGTCCTTAGCTCTGGAAACGTGACGCATTCGCATACAGTACAAGGCTTTTTAGCACCAAAGGACCTTCAGAGAGACCTTTACACCACCTCTCTTCTAACACATCATTTAGAGCAGAATGATGTTGCATAAAGCAAAATCAATGTAGTCATTACCATAGGCATACACAGAATAATGTTGGTTGGTGGTTTTAGGTCATATTATAAAATATATTTTCTCAGCTACAGATGGCACACAAAGGTCCTGAAAACTTTTATCACAGCTTTGAAGAGGCGCAAGGCACCTGCTCTCTGAATAACTGTCACTCATTGATCAGATTAACTAGGTTCCTTTAAGTCTAGCGCAAGGTTAAAATTTTATCTGAGTAATTCTTATAAATTAATATATAAATATGGATGTGGTTTTTTTCTTTATCCCTAATTCAGTTTAGAAAACCTCAGAAAGGTGAAGGAATGTTAGTATGTGTACTCCACAATTCACTAAACATACCAAGATGTGCACCAGTGCAAGTTCTTTGGGGTTTCTGCACTTCACATGAAGCAGTTCTTCCACACAAGGTTCTGAAGGATCCGGTTTAAATCCACAGCAGTAGCGGTCCAGCCGGTCATTCACCTACAAACACAAAATAAGTTTTTTTTTCCCCCCCACTTAATTTCCTCATGCTTATGAAAAAATACTGTACATTTTATTAGAAAAACTGGGCAGAAGAAGCATTTACTGCGATCCCCTGTGTTTCGTAAACCGTGCTCACAATATCAAAAGTCTGATGCTCACATAGGTGTGTGCTCTCATGTAAAATTAATGAAAAATGACATCCTATTTATTTTCAATTGAGAATTTCAAGGCTATCACAATGGATAACCAACACTTTTGGCAGCTCACCTGTTGTACTGGAAGGTGTTGTTGTCTAAAACTTGTAAACTTGGATATCTAGTAGAGGCTCCTTGAATGTCAGTGACAAAAGCTGTATTAAATGGACAAAGCAAAAAGACAAGGACTCCTGAGCTGCTCTGTGGGGATACACAAGCTATACACAGCAGTGAGGAGTAGCAGCCTCCTCCTGAGCCAGCAAGCACAGCAGCACGTCATACAGAGAGAAGACTGAAGCAGACTGGAAAAACCTTAGTGTTATTAAAAAACAGCAAAGCTTTCATGATGGATGTTTTCTGTGTTTTTTCTTTATTCATGCATTGATTTGCCAGTAGTCTGTCTTTTTTTTAGCATTATTTAATTATCAATGCAACGCTAGCCCATTTAAAATACAGAAGGTCACCTTCCCCCACACACACACATCAGATTAGTAAAAATGATTTTAGAATGGAATGAAGACTTGGCTTATAAAATGACATCATGTATGATATATAGTGTTTTAAGATGAAAGGTTAAAGGCCTTTCTCTGTGTTCAATTAAAAAACACACACAACTACATGGAGGTTCTAGGGTGGCACTAAGCAGCTTGTTAGTGTCTCAGCACATCTGGAATTTAATTGAGACAGACAGCACTAAACCTCCAATCACTCAGGCTGATAACATCTATAAAACAGTGAACACTGGGAAACATTTCTGGCGTACCTCAAAACGAAGACACACGTTTTTGTAATTGAATCCATTCAAATTTTCAGAAAGTTTGCGGTTAGCTCAAATATATCTGCAATATTTGAGACAATGTTGGTCAGCAGCATGGGGCCACCAGCAAGATCTTTATTAAATTGGAAAAAACAAAAGGTCAACCTCAGATTCATACGAATTCATTCATTTACATTCTTAAAATATAATTGACAAAGGAAACGTGGCAGGTATTTTACCATATTTCTTTTCCAAAACAGCCTCTCCGTAAGCAGCTGAAATGAACACTTGGATGTTCTGTCTCAGGAATGCAGCAGTGTGTCAATCTGCCACATCAAAATGTTTAGGCCTGTGATATACCTACTTTAAAAAAGTAGGTATTATACCGTGTATTTATAATAGCATATTCATATGATTTTCATTATTTAATGTGTTATATACATTCATTAGTAACAATATTTTAAAACAACACATGGACAACATCATCCACATACGATCTGAAATTCTAAACCTGTACAAACTTCGTGAGCAAACAGCAGAACGATGCCAATCCAGATTTGTTTTAATCCACTGTTTTTAGGCACTTCCCTTAGCCAACCAGAGAAGGAGATGTTCTCCTCCAGAGGAACCAGGCCCAGGCTGTCTGTCAGGGTTCCCAGCATCCCAGTACTGTCACCTCTGTCTGATTCATCTGCATAATCACTTCATACTGCAGACTGAAGACACACGGCCCAGAACAGTCCAGGAAGAAATAAGCTGAACGCCTGCAGAATTACTGTTTGCATGAAAATGAATTGCATGCTGGGGAGCAGTTCAGAGTCAACACTGACAGATGAGAGATTGAATTGCTCTCTTCTATATACCAGAGAATATCTCTTTCTGTACGAAAGAGAACACCAGGAAGTGTTTTACATTTCACAGGTGAATGCTGATTTACTTCTGACAGATCTGACAGACGGTGTGTGGAAATATTATGGATACACCATTTTCATGGTGAGCATGTTGCACTGTGCAAGTCAGCCAGAGGAAGTGCGATGAGGTGGGGAGAAGTCTCCTTTAATACTATGGCCACAGAAACTGCACTTCAAAAACCGAAGGAGTTTTTGAGTCAGCGTTTTTCCCATTTCTGCGAGACAATCAGAAAGAGTCAATTTTCCTCATACAAAGCACAAAGTTCAGAAGAAAATATGATGCTTTCCCCTTTCTCCTTACTCAAGTCTAATAGAGCATCTACAGGACCAATCACTAATGTCATAAACAGGAAACAACTGCAGGGCTGACCTTGTAACTATTAATTTAGACAATGTCATATTTCATTAGAAAAATAACTCACCTTTATCCTTTGATTATATAATATATAATGTAATTTTTTATATTATAACAATTATAATATAAATATATATATTGTACTTTTTTTTACATTCTCTGTAATTTTGATATAAATGTATTTAAACATTAGATCTGCCTTTCTATTGTGCATCAGGATATATATACACAAATATGCAGTCTATGACACGTTCTGTGCTGTAATTATTCCTAAGACAAAGGAAGAAAAAAAAAGTCAAGAAAATATAATCACAAGCCTGAATTTTTAAAGCCCTTCTGAACATACAGATGATTAATGGATTTGTTTTATATGCAGCACCAGCAATTAAAACATTACATACTGTAAAGTAAAATCTTTCAATTATTGAGTTTTGAAGTTATGATCAAACTATTAAAAGCAGATTACACATCCATGTTAAAAAATAGCAAATTCTTTTCCCATCAAGTGGCAAATGTAATGCAGGCAACAAGGAATAAATCTCTCTAAATGCTTTCAGAGCCAAACAAAAAACATTCGATATGAAGTATGAACTGGTCTAGGTGTAGGACAGAGGTGAAATGTGGTTTCACATCTCTAGCATCTCCAGGAATTATCACACCCCCAGAGGAAATTCTACTAATCTGTCCAGAATGGACAAGTGGAGTTTCAATTCCAGTAAAATATCCCATCTAAATGTTAATGAAAATAAAATATGTACCTTTGCCTTAAAAGTGCCAATTAGTTTTCAGATGCAGCATTAGAAAAAAAGCTAACAATCCTTTGTGCTTTCAGTATTGCTTTCTTAGATTTAATTAAAAGCAATTCAAATTATAAGAGGTGTTAAACAAATAGGCTAGAACAGGTGTTCAAAATTCTCTCTCAGTAGTATCAGTGTATCAATCGTTATTAGCTGTCGGCACTTTTACAAGTATTGACTTGTGGAAATGAGTGTATATGTTTAATTCAAACCCTATGCATTCCACCAGACATTCCAACTCAGGCTCAAATGGCTGTAATATATATTACTGTTAATTTAGTGTCTGAACCTTTCTTGCAAGGAGAAAATCATTGTCAGTGAAAACAACCTCCTACTGCTAATGAAAAATTCAAAACACTTCTGGGTTTAATGTAACTGCTTTTATGTTATGGTCTGTTTATGATGTTGACACAGAATACACAATATTTTTTTCAGTTTTTTTTCTGACGAGCATTAGCTGTTCTTTGAATTTCACATAAATTCAGAAACCAGAGACTCTCTCTGAAAAACAAACAAAAAAAGCTTAAGGACTTCTTATGGCTTTAAAGCATTAAAATATGCAAATAAATCTTGACCAAGGACAAAGAGGACAGCAGAAACCAGAAAGCAAACAAGACAAATATATAGATTTTTGAAAATTGATAAAATAATCACTTATGACTGTGATACACCTGAAGGACTGTGACTGTCGCAGAAGCACTAGGTCACCTCCTTGGTGAGAGAGTTGAATATATCAAAGTGATGACGTAATTTACCCTGTTGAATGGCAAGACTGACAAAACGACAAACGAAAAGGATCGGCTGTGCTCCACTTATCAAGAGAGCAAGACCTCCAAGCCATCAGACATGCTGTCCAGGGTGCGAACCGACACCAGTTTCTAACCTGGCAAGACGTTATACCCAAACCCAACCCATCAACGACCACAAGTCATGGCACCTCGCCAACATCGACAGAGGTCCAAGTGTAATGGGGAGGGTAGGGTTGATGGCATCCTGACCTCACTGTGCTACATTAATCAAGTCCCAGGAACACAGCTGCTGCTATTCTGGTGGGCTTGTACCCCAGCAGAACAACACGTTTACATGCAGCCTGAGTAACAGCAGTAGTTGCCTGACTTGCTAGACATTGGCTCCACTGAACAGTTTTGGGATGAGCAAAGGCGATGCGTGACACCTAGGGCTCAGAGACCAGTGAACAAGCACATGCTTGTCCGAGATCTATAATAGGGAGAGGATAACATCCCACTACACGAAATCTGTAACATGGTGCAAAGCAGGCGTCACAGACGTACAGCTTGCATTGTTTCCAGTGCTGGCCACGTTATTGCACATGAACTTTCACGGTAGATCAACATGCGCACTTTATTGCTCCATTGTGTTGACAACAGGCACTAATCAGCCTACTGAATCTACCTACGTCATTCATGTTTTTGTTAAATGTCAATATATGTTCTCCAAAATTTATTTCATTTTTCTGGCATTTCTTCAGAACTTGTTGCATTTTAAAGTTGAGTTTTTTTTTAATGCTTGGTGCATACATGAAAGCTAACTGTGATAACAGTGATAACGGTTTCTGGCGTTTTGTCCACTTTTCTTTTTATGTCACACAGCTCTTCTCAGGTTTAAAAACCTACCTTTTTATTTTAGTCCTTTTTTTTTTTTTTTACTGCAGCGGTTACACTATTATCAGGTAACTAAATTTGACAACAATGGCAAAAACAGGGAAGTGGTAAATGTTCTTACCTGTAACAGAAAATCAAAAATGGCAAGCTTGCCCCACTCGGAGTCCCGGACACCAACGCAGGGTGTGAAACTTGCTGGGTTTTTATTCCCACACTTCTTCTTCAACAGAGCTTGGTACTGCAGCCACGTGAGGGGGAAGGAGTTCTGGTCGTTGTCGTCATCAGCCAGATGCTGGATGTCAGGGTCCCACCAGATTACAGGCCTGGCAACCCCACTTGTAAACCTGTACGGAAGAAGCGCACTGTGGAAGTTCCTGGCGACGGCGGGTAGGCTCCTGTTTAGCCCCAGAACCCTGTCCAGATGGAAGGCAAAGATTTCAAACCAGTCCTCTGGACGCTTTATCAGGGCACAGAGGCCATCCTGGCACAGTCGGTCACGTCCCCCAGGTGCTTGGGAAGCGTTCTGCTGGAGCCCAATCTTCAGCACTTGTCCGTGGGCAGGGACCCGAGCTCTGCTGGCCACCACACCATCGGCAAGCAGCTCCATCTTCCTGAGGTCGTCCTGGCTGAGCCAAGGCGGGGGGCGACCTGCAGTTCTGACAGTGTCCTTAACATCGTCTGGGAAAGCGTCTTCTTCCACCTGCTCACACCAAGGGCCCAGCGCCTGGCTGCTGGCGTCAGCCGTTACTCTAGACGCGTCCCGCCTCTGACCCGACAAGAACGGCCCCTTCGCCTGCCCTGGCTTGGACTCTGTTTTGCGTTTCCTAATATTTCGGGAAGCCAGATTTCCATTAGCCAATAGAGGGATAAGAAATTTCTCTGCCTTGCCAGCATTACCATGTGCATCTGGTATGCATTTGTCTTTTAACAACCCCAGGCTCTCCGAGAGGTTTTGCAAAGCAGATTGAGCTGTACCTGGGAAGACGCGACTCGGAGGAGAAACGCGCACTGGAACATGGGGGTTCTGGTATTTTCTGTCTTCCTGAAGGTGTTTATTTCCCTGCTTGCCCCTTGCATGAAATGGGGATTGTGGAGTTTGCCGTTTTCCTTTAGAGTCCAAGGTGCTTGCCTTTACTTTCATCTTCGTCATTTCTGCAGCTGCAGCTCTCTTGGGAATTTCTAGAGAGGCTCTCTCAGAAATGTGCATTTTATCCTTCTTTTGTAAGCCTTCCTTATTATTACTTGGCTGGTGTTCATGTGTCTCATCTGCTAAGTGCTCGACTGGCTCTTTTCTCTTGCCAGATTCCCAGTCTCCATGGTTATGATTCAGAGGTAGAACATGGAAGGGCACTGAAGCTCGTTTCCTCAAGTTTCCCTTCCGCCCAGCGGCGCCTGCACGACGCTCTCGTTGTGACAGGCTGTAGCTCTCGGCAGGGAAAGATGGAAAGTTATTTATCATCACCACAGATAAGGTGAAAAGAAAGATGAAGGCAACCACAGACCTCCTACGGCAGCAGATTTTCAACCAAAATCTTTGGGCCTTTGAATAAAAATAGGAGAGAAAACAATTACATTCCACCCAGCAAAACAAAGAAGGGCAAAGCTGTCAGCTGGATGCTTACTGACAGAAGGGTTTTTTTTTAAAACATATTTAACTTTAACTCCCATTTTTTAGCTTCTTTTTCACCAAGTGAAAGCACAAAATGAAGTTATTTTCACATAGCCACAGCTACTTCGTGTTTTACCTAGAAATTTGTATATTTTCCATGATTAAACATTTCATTGCTTAAAGTACCAAAGTTACTAAATCACTATTCATGAACACTACTGATCGTCTTGTCACTGTTGTACTTCTTCAAATTATAGGACACTTTCAGATACCTTTGTTAATAATTTAGAAGATGGTCAACCTGTAGTCCCTCCTATATATCCAACTGCAATGCCTCACAGCAACCAGCACTTTAATAGCCCATATTGATCCTGATGTCCGTTACTTAATTAAGGAGCTAGTTGGAGCAAAATTCAGAAGCAAGAGCAGACTGGAGGGGCCACAGTTCTTTTGAGAAGTTTTTTCCTTTTTGCAAGGACAACATGCACTAGAGATTGCTGGGACCATCTGTGTATAATTAACACACACTATAATCAGCAGTTGCAGCTACAGACATGGTCTTTATGGTAGGTTCAGCAATTCTGAAACCACCTTTTGTTTAGAGAAAACATGGAAAACACTGCAGTTTGCTAGGATTATACAAAAACATTATTTTTCAAAAGATACACAAATGTTTATATTAATCTTGTAGCACTGGAGTGATATCACCACACAGTAGTAGTCCTGCTGTTTAACCAAGGTCTAGGATTCAGTCACAAACTCAGCTGACTCTCATCAGCATCACTTTTCTATTTAAAAAACTATTTTTTAAATAAAACTAACTTCCAAAAGTAAAAATAAATTATAGCTCATGGTGATGTATTTCAGCTGTGCGGCTGTGTTGGGGAATGGCTTATGTATACCAGTTTATATAATCCGCTTTGCAAAACTTTAGATTTTTCTGCACATGACGTATCCCAGAACTCTTCATTTCTTCATAAATCAAAACCTGTGTTTATTTTCTGGGTTCTCAACTGCAGCTCAAAAATATATCCCAGAGCTCCAACATTTTCACGGTCATCAACTTAAATTCTAAATGTATATTTGAATTCTTTGAAATTAAACACCCATCCACCCGTGCAGGGTCATGGGGCAGCGGGGGCCTATCCCAGCAAGCAACAGGAGCAAGACAGGGTCACCAGCCCATCGCAGGGCAGACACATAAACACTCACAGCAGGGGGAGTTTTCAAAGAAGCCAATTCACCTGCCAGTATATCTTCGAACTGTGGGAGGAAACCGGTGCCCCCAGAGGAAACTCACGAACACAAGAAAAGTATTATTACACAATTTGTAATTCTTTGAAATGCAATATTACAGGTAGGATATGAATACTTTGCAAAACACTCTAGATATCATTATATACAATGCCTATAAAAAGTCTATACACCCTTTCCAAAGTAACATTTTGTGGCCCAACAGTCTGAAATCCAGAATTTATTTTACCTTTATTTATACACAACCACCAAGCGAAAAATAAAATGCTCAAAAAAGCTGAAAAGTAATAACAAATATGCTACTATATATGGAAAAACAGCCCTTATGATAATGTCCCTCACTGTTATATAATAATGTTCTTCATGCTTGTCTGGTGTTTTGTAGCTCATATATGAATACACCGAACTGCGAATGTGAATGTGGTTTCAGAGAAATTATGACCCAACAAAGAGGGATATATATCTGAGGCAACTCTCAGATGACTAAATAAAATCAGAGCTACTCTTTGATTGTGCATCTATCAGGAAGAAACCAAAGAGAAGAAGTTTTAATAACCTCCAAGCAGTTGACATTTGAATATTTTTTTCTTGATTTGTTTCTAAAAGGAGCCAATGCTGAAATGGAAAAAATACGTCTCCAGTCAGTGTCATGGGTGTTCTGAGCATTTCCTCAAAACAACCTTCCCAGTCTCTTACTCATCAGCAGAAATCCCTGGCCAGAGCTAAACCACCAAGAAGGAAATCAAGGGCCAGGCTCACAACAGCCAAACAAACAATGCTAGAAGGTTTATAAGAGTTCGTCATGAAAGTAAAAGTTATAAACAAGAAAACTCACACCTTGGATTTTATACACACACGTGCATGCAGAATCCTACTTATTACATGAGCAGACTTAAAAATAATACAATTTATTTTTCCACCTTGATTCACTTGAAGTCTCAAGGGGTAACGATCTGCAACAAGCGAAGCTATCAGATATGAAAATCGACCTGCTTGCAGTTTTATCACAATCTTCATAGGCAAAGGTGATGTACCATTTAAAAAATAAAGCCCCTTACTGTTATCTAGTTTTCACTTTCACTTTAAACAACAGTAACAAACGGATGTCAAAATAACACAACACGTATGTTTTCAGCACATCAGTACATTAAAACTAGGAGAAGTAACCAGGAAATACAAAAACATTTTTATTTAATTCTTTAACTTAAGTCAGCCAAGAACAAGTGCTCATTTTCCTGAGGAATTTAAGTTAATTTTTACATTGCAACTTTAAGGCTTTTTTTTCCCCATTTGAATGTACCCTTCAGGACACACTTCTTGAAATCGCTGTCTCTTCAAGCTTTATAGTGTTAATAATATGCTAATTGCTATAATACTATTTTAATATCTGTTCCAGAAGCAACAGATCACTAAGAGCACGAGAACATCAGGAAGAAAAAGACTGGAATCAAAAGACAGCCTATGGTATTCTGAAAAATCATCAATAATCTTAAACAAACTTCAGTGTCATGATCTTCAAGTCATAAAGAAAGGAGAGGAAAAGGAAACAGTCCCAGAAAGGTGTCTTCATTGCTGAAATACTGCGCTGCAGCTTCATTGAATTTTTAGCAGTGCTTTCCTACTGTTGCATTGTACTGGGAACTGAACCTACAGTAGCAACAGAGATGGAATGAATACGTCGTCTAAATCTGGCTGACTCCATGAACTCTCTGAAGAGCACGGGGTGTGTTCAGTCTGTCACTTAATTGTCTGTAAATTTCTTTTCCGTGCGTTGTGGACAGAGGTGAAGGTTACCAGATGTTTTCACCTGAAGGTCAAAGGGTCTTTTAATTAATTAAATACACTGATCTTATATAATCAGCAAGCACTTTTCATATAAAACATTATGTTTTTTAAATATAAATAATCATCTAAAAATACCCCATTCTTCCGCACTTTGAATAATCTCACTGAGAAACGGTTTCACTTTCCATCCATTATCAGAAACTGTGCCCAGTGAGGGTCACAGCAATCTGCTGTCTATCCTGGAGGCAGAGCACACAGCGAGACTGTACCCAGACAGGCACCTCAGTCCATTACAGGGCACAGACACAGGGGCAATTGAAACACCAGCATGTCTTCTGAAGACAGGAGGAAACAAGAGCTCCCAGCTGAAATCCAGGAGCTCTCCACACAGGATCTGGCCCTCCAGTCCAGATCGAACCCAGGGCCAAGTGCCTCAGATCTATGCCTTCTCAAAGAGACTTCAGTGCACGGGCAAGGAGGATTATCTAGGCTTACCACAAAGGAGAAGGAGAAAAACTCTCTTTCAACTTTCCTTATGCGTTTGAAAATACTTCAAAGAATGAGTGCAGTCAAGATAAGAGAAAAATATACATATTCATTGTAGCACTTTTGTCTGAATATCTGTCATACCCAAGGGTAATAAAAAATTCAGCGTTTAAATTTCATTTTCATTAACTATTTACTCAACAGCACTCTTCAAGCGGACATGTTGGTTACAAACAGCATGAACAGTAAAGACACGATTTACATGATTAACTGAATGGGAAAAGACAAAAGCAAACCCTTGCTAATTATGCTGAGACAGTAATATATTTGAACAAGGTATCATTTTTCAAGATCATTTTTTCCTGAGTACTAAAGAAACCCAAAGGAACTACATCCCAGTTTTTGAAAACAGGTCTCCTATGAAGTGGCCACACTGAAGAAATGCAAAAATAAACATCTGTGATGAAGGCATATCTACAGTACAACTATACGTATACATGCTAAACTAAATTTTCATACATTCTGAAAAAAGCTTTTGCATATTTATATATACAGTAAATGTGATAAAGTTAAATAACTCTTGCTCTGAGCCGCAAAGCCTTTACATTAGAGCCCGTCGCAATAAAGGTATATTTTAAACCTATAAGTAAAGGTATTTCCTTTACTCAACAGACTCCCGAACGTTTGCTTAGCATTTTTCCAGGAATGCATTAGGAATTAATATATTTGCTATTCAGAAAGTAGATCTCTTCTTTACTATTTGTCAGCTACCAAACAGAATGGCCTTCATAGGTTTCTCCCACCAGACACAGTTAGTCCATCTGAAGACACCCTACCTTGACATCTCCAAACACTTCTGACAGACTACTGCCCATTACCACTGATTGAAGGCAATGTCATCCAAGACCAACTGACAGGTGCGTCCTGGCATTGTGATAAGCACTTGTATGAATGCGTCTATCAGTCAACAAAACATGAAGCAGCCGAGCCAGAAATAAACTTACAAAATGTATAACTTTGAATAAAGTTGGCAAAAGCTCCCTGCAAAAAGATCTAAAGATGTTTTTTACACAACAAACAAGTGATAATATAAGGGTAGATAAACAGTGTTTTTCCTCAAAATTCTTTTGCATTTTGTTTGCATTTTGCTTTTGTTCTCATACTGTGGATCAGTTTTTATCTGAAAGTGAATTTTTGTCATTGTGGTAAGATGCCCCTCATCAGTATAAAATTACAGATGTTCTTACAGTAAAATAATAAACTAAGAGAGAATAAGTTTAAATGTTTTGACACCACTCCTAGCTCTGTGTACTTGATAAGGACTCTGTACACCACAGGCTTATATTTTATTTTTTCTTTGCTCCTTTGTACTGTATCCACAACTCTGCTGTGCTGGCAAAACTAGGCTGCAATCCAGACAAATTACAGTTGTAAAGCCTGCTTGTTTTGGATAGAGCTTGCATCTGTTTTTAAGTATGACCAGCTGCAACCCAGGAAAAAAAAACACCTAGAGATGCAATAAGTACTGTAAAATCCACATAGTTTTTTATTGTTTCAGTGTTGAAAAATGTCTGTTGAGTGATATACTCAAGATGCAGTTCAAAATATGCAACATGTATGGATCTCTGTGTTATTCTACTACTGATATTAGATCCGTTTCATCCACATAAGGTTTCCACCCACAATCCCAAGACATACTGGTAGGTTGACCCTGGTCTGTGTGTGTCCTGCAATGGACTGGCATCATGTCCAGGGTGTACAATGCCTTGCACCCAGTGCCTGCTATGATAGTCTCCAACTCCCTGGCAAACCTGTCTTAGATGAAGCTGTTAGGAAATGAATTAATAGAGAATGGTGTTCCTGCAAGAAGTTTTCAGTCAAACCTAAAAATTCAGCAAAGAACCCCAGTACATGATCTCCTCGGGCACAAACCCAATCCAAACCCCCATATTCCGCCTGCGATCATACCGAGCCCCATCCTCCCGGCTGTATGACCGGGTTTGTGCAGTATACTAGTCCCTGGAGACACTATCTTTCTTTACTGCAGCAGCAGTAGAAATCTTCAAGACGAAACTCTGGATACAGTAAAAGGGGTTAAGAGGAAAACGAAGCAAAACCACAAAAACGTCTAGTTCAATGCATTTCTGCTTAGCGTAATGCCGGTTATTACTTGTTTAGTAGCAGTAACTCACCGCAAATTACTTTCTGCAGAGCAGTGTATTCAACAAAAATAACGTGACAGTACGACATTTTAACTGAATGCAAAAACACCCCAGTAGACAAGTGAACCGAAGTACAGTGAATACCAAACATTTTCCTTGCCACGTACGTACTGTAACTACAATAGCCAGGTAGTTTATTTTGATGTCGCTACACCAGTTGCATTCTGCATTCTAATATTCCGGACAACTGCAATTTTCAACCTCGTTTACTTGATAATAAAAGTGATCAATCTTCCTCTAGCAAAACAGATCAAGTTTTTATGCTCGATGAACAATATTGTGATAACGTTTTTACGTACAAAGTGCTTTAAAACGTCAAACACGTGTCTTTTTCACGGTTGAAAAGCTTAAGGCATAAAATCACACAGCATGCTTGCATAGAAGAACTGATACCGCTTTGCACTTACAAATTAGCTTTTAAAAATTGACTAGTTTCCAGACGGTTACTAAGATTTTAAAAACGATAAAAAGCAAAACCTACCATTTTCTTGACTTCAGTGGCAGCTCGAGTTCTCGTCTTATTGCAGGCAACAAAGCCTGCAAGCGGCGCACAGTTCACCACACAGACATCTGTGATCCTGCACTCAAGCAAATGCTGTTCACTTTACAAATTCACCAATCCGACCTCTGCATCCTTTAAAACAGTTCATCTTGTTTTTCTCATGCTTATAGAATTTTACGTCTCCCTTGTAGTATTATTTACTCATTATAAACCACCTTTCTTAACCTACCGAGTGTAACAACTTCAAGTGCACTTGTGTTTCCTTTCAAAACGTCCTGGAATAAGGAAAAGTTTAAGAATACATGCTTATACAAGTTACTTAAACCGAGCAGTTAAAATAACACCGTGCACCGCTAGCATCATCTGCGCAGTCAAAACTTTATAATCTTACTTCTGCAATCACAGTCAATCAAAACCAGCCCTCCTGAGGCCGTTCACTTGAAAAGGGTCCCTTCACAATAAAAGCCCTGGGTTTTGTGTCAAGGGAAAACGCTACTGAAATACAGGAACGTTAGTCACGCCAACAGAGAGAGGTGCAGCCCATTCCAGACTATTAAACACGTTGCGCATATGTCTTACTTAAAACTCTCTCCTCTTCACCATTAAGTGGTGACGTGTGAGTCGGACTGATAAAATTCATATAATAAATACCATTAGCAAGCAAACAACTCGCGTTATAGCGAAATGATGACTAATCCATAAGGTGCATTATTTATAAAAGTTAAAAAAAAACGCACCAACATCTAAACGCACACCTGGCACACCTATAGTGTGTGCCCCTTGCTAGGTGGAATGCAGTCACATTGCTCTGTGGTCAGAGGAGAGCTCAGAACCTGTCCTCATCCTTTCAGCAGAGCTCTCCATTCCCCGGTCCTTCAACCACTGGCCCAGAGCTTCGGCTGCTGAGACGACACTGTTCAGCTGCCCCCTTTCTGTGACATGTTCTGCTTCCCCAGACATAACTTTGCCCCTGCAGTGTACATCTGCGCCCCCATCCAGATCTGTTTCTACCCCACAGCTGCTGGGTCCAGTTCCAGCCAGGCGTGGAGCTTGCATGTTCTCTCCATGTTTTCCGAGGGTTTGTGGTCCAGTTACCTCCTACCTTCAAAGACACGTTGGCTAGATTAGTTATCATCTCTAGGAGTAACGGTGTGCATGTGCTTCACATCTCCAGGTGGGTTGTATCGGGGCACCCCAGTTTCTTCTCTCATACTAAAGACGTGCTGGCTAGGTTGTGTCTTTAAATCAGTCCTCTGTGCTTGTCTCTGTGCAAAATAGATGGACATATAATGGACGTGTTCCCCTTCCATGATGTAGTCCCGCCTTACACCCTGTTCGTCTGAGATAGGCTGCAGATTGGCATGACTTTTACTAGGAACGAGCAGCTTTCTGATCAAGGATAGGAGGATGTGAAGAATGCCTAGATCGTACAAGATTTGGTGGTCTAAGAATAGACACCTTAGTATTATCAAACCTTGCACATGACAGGTTTTGTTGTGACCGTACAAAAATATCTAGCGTCAAAAAGCTACTACAGCCAGATCACGAGAAATCATTTTGCAGACTACAGTAAAAACATGCAGGAAATGCTGTATGTTGTAAACACCAGTGCCGCCTACAGGCAGTAAGGGTTTATGAACAAGCTCTCTTACAGTTTCATGAAAGATTGGCTTTACGAGAAATGTATTCGGGGAAATGCTGGTAAGGAAAGAAAATGAATTTAAGTACCCAATAGGTCAAGAGGGATTTCCACCAAACCTTAGCTCTTCCTAGCATGTGAAAACAGCAACACAAAGAGAAGATCTCCCACTGTGGGAGTGTGCGAGGTCAGAAAAAACAGCAAATTGCACACAGAAAAAGAACATTCGGTCCCTGATTTCCTGAAACACATACTGGAAATATGCTGCCAAATAGCATTGAAAATCAAGTAGAAAGGCCGATGTGTTTTGGAAATGTTAACCATGGGCATCTATATTTGATTTATCAAGAGAACATCTTTCTTCCGCAGGCTGAGAACAGCAGGTACACCATCATCTCTCTGGCAAAAAGAGCCTTTTATATACAAGCCTTCAGTTTCAAACTGTGCAAATAAACTGAAGGGCCAGATGAACAGCACAAAGAAACTAAATGAAAAGTTAAGTTTTTCCATATACACTGCAAAGGAGTGACAAAATCTTCACGAAACCAAAACGAGTTTCATAAGTTAAATTTGTCCCTGGTGTCACCTTGATTTACGAGGGAGGCAGATTAAAATAATAGTTATTTAAGGCTGATGCTTGTGCTGTTATAAAATGGAAACAGGACCGGAAGGCTGGGAGTCTCTCGCACAATATGTCAGATAAAACCAAGTACTCGTTTCTGACAAGTCACTGGAAATGCATTTGCTTCTGGCTGTTAAAAGCAGGACAGCACGTAAGTGAACCAAACACTGTGAAATACCTTCATAAAGTATTTAATGGCCAAAACACCACAAACGTAATACATTTGTAACCCTTCATATCTACTTTATGAGCTTAGATGTGGAGGCTTTAAGAATTCTATTTGAAATTGTGCCTCAACTTTGCCCTTATAGCTCATCCATTGACACATGGCACATGGCACAAGATGGAGGAGGCTGCAAGTGCACAATTTCCATTGCATGTTTTTATACCACATGTACAGTATATCAACATTTTCTTGAACTGCATTCTTCCTTGATTTAAAGATGAAAATATTCCAAGGACGTGTTAAAATGTTTTCAGCCAACACTAGAATAGATTGTAAACCACAATAAAATTCTTTAGACATGATCACAAATAATAGCAATTTTTCTTAAGTCAGAAGATCTTTTAAAGATACTGTAGAAGAACAAAATGGATAGTAAACCACAAACCATGAAGACGTTGGAAGTCTGTGAGGCTAAAGTTAGTGATTGGATATTTAGTAGCCTCCCAACCCTAATCCATTGTCATTTGGACAAAACCTGAAACCTAGATTATGCTCTGCAGAAATATCACAAATAACTACATTACAGTTCCTGGACTTCAAGATTATGATGCAGTTATCTAAAGTGTCACTTAAATTTACAGGGTGAGAGAGCACATCTGCAGTCCCACCGCTGCCAAGCTCCAGTTGTCTGCGCCTTAAAATGATGGATGTGCTACTATTAATACATCATACTTGTCAAGCTAAAAAGTTGTTTAGCCGGTGGAACTATGAATTAATCAATTATGTCAAATTGACCAAGGGTTTTATAAAAGACCTTCTACAGTCTTGTATGTTTAACAGCAAAACATACCGCTTTTTTATTCACTTTGCATGTAACTAATATAAAAATGATGCTTTGGGAGAATTACAGATTTTTTTAAAGAATACCTAAAGAGGTCTAACTCGGCTCCTTACAGAAATATCTCCTTCTAAACATTACTACTATATTATTCAATCTCAGGGCATGATAAACTGACTTGAGCTGTATAGCCTGTTGTCCCAAGAATGAGATATTTTAAAAATTATCCATGGTCAGAGAAAGGGAGTGTTATCAACAAGCCTCATGTTCCATCCATATATGGAACCCCACATTAAAGGTGTAATGACAAAACTCTCAGCCTACGGAGGCTAAAATCAGACTCCGAGGTTAAAATCAGACTTTTAAACTTGGAACTTGGAAAAGAACACCCCCTTACCTCAACCATATAACTTATGTAAAGTTTAAAATAAAAAAAATATCTAGAAAACAAAAGCAAACCACTCTTCAGTTTTAGACAGCAATTTTATTTTAAATCTTAAAAAATTATGCTTTTTTCTGTGCTGCTTTTTGGAGCTTCTTCACCTCGTGCTTGATGATTTTGTTCCTCTGTAAAAACACAAGACCAAAAGTTTAGAACTTGAGCAAATCAGCAGATGTTTTACTAATGCAAGATTCACATTCTGTTTACAAACCATTCCAACATAAAATATTTCCAAATGTTTATTTTGATATGTTTAAAATCTCAATTCTTTGTTAAACCATGCCCACTGTCTTAATGAAACTCAATGCCTTAATAATTCACCTTTGAGCTGTACTCAATTTATGAGAGGCATTTTAATAAACTTTGTTCACTAAATCTTGGAAAACATACTGCATGCAACTTACTGGTACTTTTAAAGCAGTTTATGAAATAAAGAAGCCTTTTCAAAAAGCACAGAAACATTCCCACAACCTGATCCGATCATGCTATGAAATGGATGCCAGGAACGTCTGAGGCAAGGATATAAATTAGACTGGGGTCATTTCAAGGACCTACAAAAAGTGACGTTATTCGTTGTTCTTAGTAGCATTTGTTTTAAACGTTTTTAGAGCAATTTTGAATTGCAAGGCACAAATGACTGAAAAGCCTTTTGTCTTTACACAAGTTTTTGGGAGGACATTTCAGCTTAAAAGTCCTCATTTGGCTGTTTAGAAAAAGGTAATGTGTTCCTAAAAAGCTGACTATGTTTTGTCTGAAATATTGTTTTGATTCGATTAATAAAAAATCAAAGTTTGTGTACCACACAAATCTTTAAGAAAAAAAACTTCCCTTCACTAAATAAAGTTCCCTTCATTTCCTTCACAGAAATGTTATTAAAGTGACATTGAGGGCAAAGAAAAAAGGCACACCTGTCACCTGAGCCTATGAGAGAAACACCTTTCAATTTTTTCAAAACCAACATACCATTCTCTTGGCCTTCATCACCTTGTAGCGGTCAAAGTCAGACATTTTGGCCCTCTGTAAATAAAGCAGAGCAGCAACCATAAAACAAATCCACTGACAAGAATAGAGAGCCTTCTGCTTCACGCTACACATTCAGCTATGCCCACTGCACGAGGAGAAGCTATCCAACTCATTGATTTCTAACATTTCTCTGCATTTCAACTGTATAATTATCTGGGTCGTAATATTTATTTTGCAATGACAAGGCTCTGTGGCACAGGATGCAAGCTGTTTAAAAACTAAACCAAGCACTTCAATCAACTGAACAGTTTGCTCATGTCATTCAAACAGCACAGAGAAGTGCTGGTAGACCATACTCCCTTCCTGAATACGGCCTCTCTCTCCCAAAACTTTAAACTTAAACCTGTAAGCTGTAACTGTACATCAAGGCACGAATGACAAAGATACACACCTTTTGCCTGGCTTCAATTTTCTTCGCCCAGCTGGTCTCGACCCACTTCTCGTTAACCTGAGCCTTCTCCCAGGCACGTCTCACAAATTTCTGACGAGCACTGTGAAAAGGAAAGAGTTAAATTACTCAAGCCATACTAATACACTCTTTGGTATACAAGTCCACGAAGTTAACCGGCAGTATTAAATAACTCATGTATGGTAATTACCTGCATGTTCATTAAAGTTATGGGACAGCTAAAACATCTTTATGGAAAATCATCAATGGTTCTGTATTACTGTTTCTGCAATAGATTACGAACCGTGGATATTGATATTCTCAATTATTCTGTTATGTTTCTGATTCTTTGTTGTTGCTTCAAATTGCCGGCCTTTTCATCAGAAAGGTCTTTTGACACCAAGGTTTGACAGGCTCTTGTACCACCGTCTAAATACCCCAAAACAATCGAGAGGCTTTTCTTAAAAACGTACCTGTGTGGAACTTTGATGACAAAATCGGTGAGCTGCATGCACTTGAAGGGCATAGCCTGTCTTTTCACACCGGTGCACGGCCCATCCACCAGCGCCTACAAGACACACGGAAACAGAGGTGAAACCGAATGGCTGTAAGTAAAGCATTTACATTCTGTAAATCATTTCTGACCCAATACAAATTAAACCACAACCTGGACTTGATAAGCAGCAAAAAACAATAACAAAATGGAACTTCAGTCACAGGCCATTGAACCATTTAAATACGTTTAACCTTCTTATAATCAAGTATGGGAGAAGGACATCAAACAACACCGTCTTGAACGAGGAGAATAAGAACTTCCGAGGGGTAAAGCCGATCTCTTACCCTGTTCTGGTCAATGACATCAATGATGGCCACCAGTTTGCCTGCATGGGGGCCAAAGGACACATAGGCCACCCTGCCAATCTCAACAAAGCGCTTGAACACCTGCAACAGAACACAGTGCACGTACTGTTAGGCCTCCAGCAGCACAGCCCTGGGCACATCTGAGAGCTGGGAAACACACAGGTGAACACGGAACACACAGGACCAGCGGACCTCAACTCACCCCTAAAACAACCTGCTTAACTGACAAAAACCACAGCAGAACTAGAAGGTATAAGTGTTCTAGCTGTGAAAATTGCTAAGAACCACAACTGGAATGCCTGCCACTTCTATAAGTGTACAGTTCTTTATAAAATGATTTTACACATAATACTGTCTTTAAGAAGGAGGAGCCTACATGCAAATACACCTAAATGACTTGTCCAGTGTGTGTGGGGGCACAGACAATAATAATAA